CAGTAAAAGATGCACCTCATGCACGCCGTCCGGAAACTGCAATGGTCGAAAAAGTAAAGGATTTGATTTCTAATGATGCAAGCTTTACAACTAGGTTTATAGATAATTGCGTTGGTATCTCTGTAGGAGCAGCTCATACAATTCTCAGACGGGATTCAAAAATGTGAAAGATAAGTACCAGATGGATACCCCGAGCAAAAACTTGCTCGGGAAAGAATCTCCAAACAATTGTTGAAACAGTTCCCTAAATACAACACAACAATCGATCTTTCCCAAATAACATCACTGGCCATGAGACGTGGGTTCACTTTTATGAGCCCAAGCGAAAGATACATTACAAAATATTGGCAACCAAAGGAAGTCAAAGACCTTGTATACCAAAACGCACCATGAGCGTCAAAATGTCATGTCTGTAATTTTCTTTACATATCAAGGTCTTGCTATTCAAATTGCCATACCCAAAGGTAAATCTGTAAATTCCAAGTTTTACAAAGGCAATGTCCTTCATAAATAAATATTTCGAAACCCGTCGGCAAGCAACTGATCTCCGTGGTGTCAGGTTGGTGCATGACAATGTTTCATCACACAAAGCGGTCATTGTAAGAGAAAATCATCTTGAACAGGAAAAGGTTGTCGAGCTTCCTTACTCTCCTTATTCGACAGATCTTGCCCCTTGGTGGCTTTTTTCCTATTAACGAGGATGAAAAAACACCACCTTGCTTGAAGAAAATATCAAACGCGAAAAAATCTCGGTTCGGCTATTTTCGTGTGTCTGGACAGTATACCTCTAAAATATTATGAAAACGTATTTAAAAATTGGATTAAAAGACTAAACTTTGTATATCACATGGTGGTGAGCATATTGAAGGATTGAGATAATTATTTTTGCACTGTTTGTTAAGCACTACTGACCCAGTTGTATTCATATAATGAACACCTCTCGTATATGCATCAGCTAAAGAATACATTTTATTGTAATTAATCAGCTTGCATACACAATTACTTCGACGTGACCTTGACCCATGTAAACTGATTCCGCTGAACTACATTCGTCACGAATAAATATGTAACTAGGACGCATTTGTTACCGAGGAGTAACATGATATTCACTTGTACTTTAAGTTAATTTCTGCATGTCATGAAAGTATAAAAGCGTACTTGTATCATAGTTTGGGGACCTTTCTGTCTGTTGAAAATGTGTCAGCGTTAAATCGTATACATATAAATGCACAGTGCGTTAACTGAAGTGCAGGTATTAGTTACCTGCACTCCAGAGCAAGCCCATTGATTAGCTCATTTTTGCTGGGGTTTACTTATTGTGACGGAAGAGAAGGGGAAGCGACAGAAATATCATATTCAGATACTTGCTCATTGATTACTTTTTCCCGGGGTTTCATACTGTGACAACAGGGAACGTTTTTTTATGTTTGACTATGATACAAAAGAGAAAGAACATCAAAAAACTCGGCAATCTGATTAATATTCGGGGGCTACGCCCCCTCGTACAAATCAGATAGCCTCGTGTTTCGATGCTCTTTCTATTACTTTACGCTGTACTTAATGTTTTGCAAAATTGACATACTTTAAAAAAAATATTGATATAAATTGTAATTTAAATGTCCTTTGTCTAGTAATGTCATAAACCATCTATAGTCCTAGGAAAACAACAACAACAAAATAAAAAAAAGAACAATTTGAACAACAACAACAACAACAACAACAACAACAAACGATAACATCAACAAATGACCACAAATGACAACAACAACAAACGATAACAACAAGAACAAAAACAACAACAACAACAACAACAAATGTCAAACAAACAGAGATCAAACAGATGTAAATCATTTACTAGTTATGTACAAGAGTAAAGTTTGTGTTCATATCATTATTGTTAATGCTTATGTCAACCCTCCCAAAATGTTCTGGTTTTTCATACCAGACAGCTATATAAAAAATATTTGGAAAACATCTTTAACCAAATATTTGCTTAAAACATAACTCGAGCTCTTTCCCCATACAATTGGGTGGAAATCGATTATAGGAAAGTCTATTTATGGATATGTAGATTCAGATTACAAGAACAAACAAATGTGCGATGAACATTTTAAAGAATTTGTGCAAAGTACACTATGCGTACACAATGCGTTTGTTCCCGGTTATTGTGCCGTGGCGTAAATTGCATATTCTAACACTATCGGAAATTTTTCTATATAAACAAAGAAGGTCCGAAGCGTGCATTATTCTACAACAATGCACTCGCCGCTCTTATTACCTCCCTGTGTATTTTCACATTGAGGACGCCATTTTGTTTGAAAAATGTGATAAATAAAAACAATTTTTTGCCGAATTTTGTTGTGAAAACTATCTAGAATGAAAGGAAATGGTCTAACTAAGAAAATGAATCCGAACACTTATATCTTTAATTCAGTCGTTAACGCTGTACAGACGTTTAAAGTGCTGTTTACGTGACGTCACAATGTAGCGCCAAACATCACGTGCAAAACAATCAAATCAAGTACGCTATTTTAATGTCGCAAACGAGTTAAGTTTTACATTTATTTCACTTTAATAATTTGTATTTCGCTTGAAAAGTTATAGGGTAAAATAAAATAAAGAAACAAGGTTTTATCAACGTTTTCAAAATTCGTTATTCTGAAAATGTTTCTACACACGGTAGATTTAACGACAGTTTTGTTTCAACCCACTTGAACAGCCTTTAAAGAACGTTTCTATTGGAAACTCTGAGGTTAAAACAAATTCAACCACCAAACATAAAGTCCAACTTTATAATAATAATTATATTTGTTCTTGACGTGTTAGAATGGAAATAGATATTAATTCTTCGTGCATTATTGTATAATAATGCACGTTTTTCGTTCCAATGCTTTGTAATTAATCACTCAGGCCTATCGGCCTTCGTGATTACATTACTACGCATTTGAACTCAAACCGTGCATTATTCTACAACAATGCACTCAGAATTGATATCTATTTCCTAAATATACTTGGCGATGAATTCAACGTTTTATGTAATTTAAAACCCAAATGTTAAACTTATTGAATTACTGAGGTCTCAAAGAGCGCAAATCGTCTAGACACCGAAAATTAATATAAATATATTACACAAAAAAGTTGAATTCAAATATCATTTTTATGAGAATTTTATTTCGTTTCGCTTAGAATCTTAAACTAAATACATAATTCATATTTGAAGACACTTATTTATTCATTCGCAATAACCGTTTTTTTTAACATGTGCGTGTATTATTTTGTTTGTTATACCATTATTAACTTATTTGAATATTCGAAATAAGCATTTTTTCACATGTGCATGAGTTATTTTGCTTGTTAAACCGTTATTTACTTATCTAAAACTTCGAAATTAGTATTTTTTCATTTTGTTTGTTAAACCATTACTTACTTAATTAGCATTTCGAAATAAGCATTTTATTTCACATGTGCGTATGTTATTTTGTTTGCTTAACCTTTTTGTACTTATTTCAACATTCGAAATGAACATTTTTTTTCACATGTGCGTATGTTGTTTTGTTTATTAAACAATTTTGTATTTATTTAAACATTCAAAATAAGCATATTTTTTCACATGTGCACTTGTTATTTTGTTTATTAAATCACTATTTACATAATTAAAATTTCGAAATTAGCATTTTTTTCACATGTGCACTTGTTATTTTGTTTATTAAACCATTACTTACTTAATTAAAACTTCGAAATTAGCATTTTTTTCACATGTGCGTATATTATTTTAGGGACTCCAATGAGATTTTTTATTGACATGATGGGACTGAAAATATTTTTTCCTGATAAATGGGCCATTTGATGTAGGTTTAGACCACTAATCTTTGTGCAAAAGTTTAGATTATTCGCGCACTTCGTTTCTCCAGAATAATTAAAAAATGACTTAATGTTTAAACGCTTCTCACTCAAACGGGCTAAGAAAAGAAAAAAAATACGATTTTCAATTTATTTCAAAGTATTTCTTAACTATCTTTGCATTTATTTCTGTTTAACGTGCCCCAGCTCATTTATGTAAGAAATTCAAATGTAATGTTTTTAGGCTTTTAAACCTCAGTGAAGTCCCTTTAAGCCATAATTTACTGATTTAAAACTTCGAAATTATCTTTTTTTTCCACATGTGCGTATATTATTTTTATTTGTTCAACTGTTATTCCATAACCTACACATTATATTAATCTTTTTGTCATGCCTTAAAATCAATTTTCGTTTAAAGTGTTAAAAGCTATATCTCTGTTGCGTGCAGTTTACATTTTTTGTTTGAAATTTGAAAAAAGATTTATTCCCAAATTCCTGTTTGACAGAACCGTGTTGTATATTTCCTTTTGAGCGAATGGCATCTGCACGAAATCATTGCTAATCGGTTAGACACCTACTTAAAATAGCAACATAATATTTTGTTCCATAACATTATATTCTAGATGAACAAAGTTTTCACGAGTCTTATGTAACAGACAATTCATGGTTGCAACTCTTTCGAGAATCGAACAGATTATGAAAACAACATTATTCTACTGTATTTTAAATCTTACAGAAATAATATCTTCGTAGATATAGTTTTGCATTGTGCATGCATTTGTATAAATTTCATCAAAATCTTCAATAGCAAAGCCCCTCTACAAAAATCGGATTCCTAATTATCTAAGTGGGTTTAAACCGCACCAGGGCAAACCGTTTCCATGACTAACAGACTAATCACTTATTGCTCAGTCAGTACTGATAGGTTCCAGGAACGGATTCGAACTTGTGTCTGTAAGTATTTAGCCTATTACACAAATCCTTTATAAACTAAACATTGTGCGTGCTTAATTATACTTCTTAATGTACCAAAAAAAAAAAAAAAAAAAAAAAAAAAAAAAATGCATAGAAAATTTAATTCACATTTTCTTTCAAACATTCAACTCTCTCAAAGTTTTATCTATATATTATTATTTTTTAATTTTTTTTTTAAATCTTACCATTTTTGTCGTGCGAATCCACTCTCATAAAACCACTTAATATCCAAACTTTTGTTCTAATGAAATATAGTTAAATTGCTCTGTTGACATTTAAATGCTAAGTGTTCGTAGATTTATTTCGTACTTTAAAGCAAATAGACCTTATATTTCAGTACTTCGCCACTGGTAAAACATTAAAAGCTGTCTTGATAAATAAATATCACAAAATTTAATATCCATATCATCATTTTTTGTACAAGCAATTTATGCAGACAACTGTTTATTTTACGTGTCATACCCTTTATTTTAATATCTTTTATTTATTTAAATATACTTGCATATCAAGGATTAATCATTATAATGTGATTGTTTTGGCAAAACTAACTTTTTCGGGATTCCGTTGCCGAGTAGTTAAGGTCGTTGACTACAAACCACTTGTCCCTAACCGCTGCTGGTTCGAATCACCTCAGGGACTAAGAATTCCTTCATGTGAAGAAGCTATTCAGCTAGCTTACATAACAGCGGTGATTATACTTAGGGGACTGTTCATGCACCTCAGGGGCACCTGAGGTGTGGGAAGTCGTCATATCACCATTAGAGTGTTAAAACGCAACCAAAAAAAATAATGTATCATTTTAAAGGGACATTATGCACATCCAAGAGTATATAGTGAGTGAACGGGTGGAGATCAAAATAAGTTTTTCATTTTGCCAAAATTCCATTTAATTTTATAATTAAGTTCACATATACAATAGATAACTCACAGATCCAAACAAACTTTCTGTAAATACCCATTGGAATTTACCTATAACGCTTAGTTTATAAAAAGAGTGGGGCAGTCTTTTTTAATTTTAGGCATATTTATAATTTTATCCTAAACATTTTCCAATATCAGCTGTTGGTCAGTCAGTCTTTTGAAATATAAAGTCAATTCAGCTCAACTTGACTATGAAAATATGAGCATAACAAAACTGATTTTAAGCCTTTACCAGGTATATATTAAATACTCGTATTGTGTTATGAAATTTAAGCTTCGACTGAAAAGTAAGACATAAACCAATCAAAAAGTTCGTAACAAAAATTGGTAATGGCTCTATTGAAATTCTTATATGCTTTAAACAACAAAAGAACCCAACAACAATCAAAACAAAACAAAATAAAGTTCGTTAACGTTTATCTAAAAATTTATTCACATAAAGATACCTCAGTTGTTACAATATATGAACTATTTAATGCTATATATTGCAGTGTTAACGATTATATCATTTTTATCATCAAATTGAATTCAATGACAAGTTTCTCATGGAACGTAAAACGTTTCATTATAAAAAATAGCCCATTTATTTGCTTTAAATGTCTGAAAACGGAAAAAAATAGTACGTGTGCTTGCGATACCATAGCAGCTCTTGGAAATTTAGGAATTTAGTCAAATTCTACAAGAGGATTATCATACCATCTGGTATACCTAAAATATCCGGGTACCATTTTCTAAATTTCCATGGTATCTTAAAGTAAAAGCAAAGTTACAAACATACAGATACAGACTAAACTGACGTAAATTAAAATCAAAACACCTAACCGAAAAGAAGAAGACAGACAGCAAAAGACATACAAAAAGGACGTCAACCGGCAGATAACAACAAATACTTAACGAAGCAATCTACAATGCACTAAATGAACCATACAACAAGACACGAAACGGCACAAACTTAATGGAACAAGACACAGGAACATCACCGGCACAGAGAATAGAACGGAGACTTAAACGGAAACGAGGATTGATGACAGAATGTAAACAATGTTAACAACAATGTTTACAGACAGCAAAAAACTTACTGGAAAACACAAAAACAGTACATAACAAGACACTTTACGGAACATACAACAACAAATCACTGTAAACGGACAAAAAAACTAACAAAAACAAACGGAACAGCCAATAATAGGGTGGAAAAGACAGTGCGGCAGTTCGATACCCTACCACAAGATTGACCAAGACGGAGAAATACAGATGTAACTGAACATACGTGGCAGACAGCAAAGAGTTAACGAATGTTCAACTGAATGGAACATACGGCAAGACACGGAACGGAAAATCAGCAGACAAAATCAGAAATAGACAAAAAGATGCTAGATACATCAGTAACACGTCACGACAAAAAAGACTTAAACGATACAGAAAAGAGTTAACAGAACAGACAAGATCAGGCGATTCGAGAACAATTCCCAAACGGTTCAGGTCACTTTCGTTGCGATTTAACTACGACTATTTGCACTGTACCTCTGCTCTGGCATGTACGGAAGTTTCAATTCTTTGCTAAAGTGAAGGCATGTAGCTTGACAGCTTACACAGGTGGGGTGGCTGAGCTGTGCTCTGGAAAATTCAATGTGGATTACTGCCGGAGTAAAAACTACCAATGCCACCACAAAAACTTAAGACAACAAGACACATACAACAGAAAAATAGAAAAGAATGACTAATGGAACATTTCAGGATAGGCAACAACGGAAAAGACAACACGAAATTAACAGAACATTTTGTTCACAGAACGCAGCCCCGACACAATCCAGTCACACTAGTAGGGCATCCAGATAGCATCGAACAAAATAGTGGTCGGGAGCGGATGGCTCAAGTGTGATGAAAGGACGGGAGGGATATGTAGTAATTGTTTGTTTCAAAACGCCTTTTCTCAACAGTATTTCGGTCATATCGGCGGGTAGTTTCATAACCATCGTTCCTGAAGAGTTACACCAGTACTACACTACCTTCCTCCGTGCTTTATGTAGTTATTAAAATGGAAATAACTGAAAGAGGTCGATATGGGAATTAAAGGGACAAGGGATGTCAGAATGGGGGGGGGGGGGGGGTTGGAGAAGGGGACAAACGTGTGAATGGAAGGAAAATACTTACCGTTTGACAATTAAACAAGATCGGACACCACAAAACGTGCTACAAGCGGTGGAACTAAAAAAAATGAATTATAGAATTGCGTTCCGCTTTAGTCGAACTTCTTTCGCTCCAACCCGTAGGCCACGTGCAAATTTGTTGAGGAGATCTTTAGTGAGAGCCACACGCGGTTGATTTTGTTTTCTTGTATAAAAAGAACATACATTTCGGGCGAATAGATGTGAAGGTTATTCTGGTGATATATTTGTGTATTATGGTATAAATGATAAAAATACATAGCAGCTACTTGAGGGAAGCCCAACTATATATTATCTGCTTAAGAAAGGCGATTGCTTAAAACATATGTAACTGAAAAAAAGTTTAAGCTTTTATTTCATTTACACAACAACCTACCGCATATTTAATTAACACTGTCTTCATAGTAAAAATGTTCATGTCTTTTAAGAGAAGAAATAATGCCTTTATATTCCTGTCTTCACAAGAACAATGTAGTTGCGGTACATTCAGAAGGAAACTTAAAACATAAAACTATAGTTAACGAAGAGTATACACAGAAACGACATTTAACATTAAGTACATTCGTTCGGTTTTATAATGGCAATATGAATTCGCATAAATTTAATTAGAAAAAATATATCTTTTGAACTTTAATACGCTCAAAACAAACATTATATTTCCAATTTTTGTGCTAAGGATGAGCGTATTACGTTTAATAATGATTTACACGCGTATTGAATAATAAAATACGCTAAAACGTGCCGTAACCTAGCACAAGAAGCACCTCGGCAATAACAAGTTATTATTAGAACTCTAGGACATCTTCAGGGTTATCTCAAGAACTCTGTGACATTTGAAAAATAAGGTATAAATTTGTTAGCCGGGGCTTTATGTTTGCAACTTTCAATTATAATTAGATGATTAAGTATAGCAATGAAGAAGATCACAAATGGATCTTTCAATGTGTACGAACGAGCAAATAATTTGGAATTTTTACTCAAAACTACCAGATTTTAATCGATGTACGTGACATCGCCTGCAACGCGCATGACTCGTCCATGAGCTTAACAATTATTGATGCATCATTCAATCTTCTTTTTTTAAATCTTATGTCATAAATATTTCTGCTGTTGCACTCACCATGACGTTAAACATGCCTCACATACAAACTATTCAATGTTCAGACAGAACAGATGACCCTCACAAAACAACGGTAGACGTTTTAGAAAGTAAAGGCGAGCAAATTCTCAAGAATCAAAAGCAAGCTCAAGGATATAGAACATTCAGTTATTGTAGGAGGTAAAACAGTAACTGGGTTGTTTGTTGTTGAATATATCAAAAGCATGTTGACAATCAAAAGACTTGAAAATAATCCACGGATCATAAGAATAAATAATATCTGAAAAGCCAAGCCAATCTGGTATAATATCAAAGGTGTAAAAATAAAATGTGTAAAAAGGAATCAGCGTACAGATGATTTAAAAAGTGGCTGTGAAAACAAACTGAATCTGAGTCAGAAAATTGCATTGTATGAAATCTAAACAAAGTCTTTTCTATACAGAGTTAAGAGAGAATGTTGAAATCACGTTGAAATCGTGATGTTGAAATCGTAAACAAGTTGAAAACGTAAATTTATGATGTTATTTAAACGATCAATAAAATAATATTTTGTTCTATAACAATTTATTATCTGCTGAATATAGATATTTAATATGTGATCATGTATCTCACACTTGCATCCAACATAATTCATTTGCATGTATAATTCATTCATGTCTTATTACGTTTGATGAAAGTAATCTTTTATGGTAATACCTTCAGTTATGAACCAATTCACAATTCAGATTATTTTATTAACGCTATCGACGTAATCGGGTCAACGTTCAGAGAAAAGACTTTTTATTTTATTTTAATTTCTCAAATTTTTATTATTTTGCACCAATGCTAAGAATTAACACATTTCGTGCTGTGCACTTGAAGAATTATAGCGTAATATACGATTGCAAAAGTAATAAATACTTCTGCAAGAAGCTATTTTGACATAGAAAAATGTGGGAAAATTGCATGATATAAATGAGGGTCGGTAAAAATTGCTCGATTTAACAAAAATGTAACGAGAAAATCAGTATACTATACATTTAATTTATCACTCTATAGAATACTAGAATACTATACATGTGCATTCTTATAAAGTGAATTAGTCCTTAAAGAAAGGTATGTAATACCATGAATAATTATGTTGATACCATTTAGTATCATATGAAATAATTAAATTTGGCTGTTTGAAATACATGATCTGATAAAACACATCTATATATAGCAGATATAAGAAAATAACCTGGACTCATCATCTAAATGTTCATACTAATATCACTCACTTCCTTATCATCCTTTTTTCGAGAGATATTTTTAAAGATATATCCAAAAGATACAATACTACTGTTTCTTTCTCAATATTTGAAATGATTAGCAAATGTAGCTTTTTTAAAGCAATCCCTAAACAGAATCCCTAAAGAAAGCACAAGGCAAAACTTGGCTAGCATACCTTTGGCGCCTCGTCAAATAGGATCCAGTATGATTACCTTATATCATAATATTATTTAAAGGCATTATTTATATCAATTCATTGTATATTAAAATTACATTATCATAATTATTTAAATTTCAATTGTAATGAGCTTTCTAACTTTCGAGACAATGGTATTCTGTTTTAGAGGTTAGAAGTGTTTTCTTTTTAGATACACTCTTTACAGTTTTTTTCTTGAACAACCTGTGTAGGCATGCGTTTCTTTTATCATTTATTATAATCTAATTTTAACTTGCATAATTTGCTTTTTTATATAAATAGGTCATACATGTCTAGGGGAAAGTACATACATTTTTTTTTGTAGCTCAAGGCTTCTATTCCAGCTGCGTTTAATTTTCTAACAAATGCTGCGGTTATCTTAGAAAACAGGCATGTGGCAAATTAATTCACTTTATTTGAATACAGTTCACATGAAACTGATATTATAATCATAAAAAATGAATGTGCAGCTAAAATGATGGAGTTAAAAATGGTGACTTAGGAAAATATCTTATGAATAGTTACTAGGCGTTCTAACACATATACCAAGGTAAGTGTTTTGAAACTTATTATTTTCAAAGCGTTAATGCTATTTCAAAAACTCAAAAGCTAAATCTTTTATGCTGTTCCACAATCTTAAGGTCGATTTGCCAAAGAGTAAGTATAATTGAATTTCCCTGCTAGTTAACATACACTAATAGTGTACATAAACAAAATGAAATAGTCTGAAAATTAAAAATTATTATTATATAATTTTTTATACTTCAAGAAATGTCATACCGTTCAGCAATTATGTAGTGCTCGTGTTATTCGCACATTAGATATTAAACAAATTTCTGCAACATAAATTCCCAGGTTACTGCAGGATTTTAAAGATTTTATTTAAATAGTAATAAGTTTAATAGTCATATGTTTTAAGAAAAAAAAATATCACAATAAAACATTGGTTTATATTCATTTAACACAAAAATGCTGAAAGATAAAACACACACATAGTGCATGATCTAAAATGAAAATGTTCCTATTTTAAAATTAGATACTTAACACGCCAGGTTGAGATTGTTTCTCTAAAATAAGATAAAACGCTGATAAACGCCGGCGAAAGTAAGCTCATTCAGGAAATAGAAATACGTCCTGTAAAATATTTAATTCGTATTAATAATTTTTCAAATTGTATTCTGTACAGAGGAAATGATTAGCTTATTTATATATAAGAGTTACGTAAATTTGCAAAATGAAGAGAAATTGGTCCGAATATAATAACAACTGTTGTGTTTATATCAAATCTTTAATTTAGACTGTCGCACTTATTTCAAGATATATCATGCGCAACTTTGATATTTGAAAAATATTGGGAATTGCTGCACTGTCTTTTTGTAAAAATAAAATCAACGTGTTTCGACTACACACACAGTAGATTTGTTATGTTTTGAATTCTACACACTATAGGTGGTCAAATTATGAGTATGTAGTGTCATTAAAAACTAGCAGTTTTTCAAGGAAATAAAACTTTACTGGGTCTGTAATAGGGCATGCAGCTTCCCATACATAGTGTTTACATATACAGTAAGAATAAAATAGATTTCAATAGATTTCAATAAATTTCTGTGAAAAAATTATTTTAATCAAAGATGAGCATAGATCTTTCAGTTTGAAAATCTCTTTGCGCTTATAAAAACGTTTCAAAAATACGTACAGAAAAGTGACCATAAATCATTTGAATAATTTGCAATGACCATCTGAAGTACATAAAACCAACTAACAAAAAAGAAGTTTGTTATAATGTTATTATTGTTATATTCCAGTTGGGTGAACACCCATCGCGTTGAAAAGAATTTGACATTTTAATTCAACTTAACTCTTTTTACTTGCTGGAGCCGGACCTGATAAGCATTCACACCAGCACAAGGCTCTGTACTGGTGTCTAACCCACCTCAAAAACATATTTCGAAAATTGTTAAGGGAAACTTTTTTTTATTACAATAATGCATCTTTAGATAATATAATAATTGATAACAGCGTGTAACGTCTTTTACACATTCTTCAGTACGAAATTGTTTTAACGGTCATTCAGTGATTTGAATTTTATACAATGTGTCAAAGCTATATAAATATGGTTCGATAAATATATAGTTTGAAACTTTACAAATATATCATTAAAAATAGCAGATAATATTTCAAAAATAGTTATTTCTGTTTTCCTATGTTCTCTCTGTCTCTGGATAGGATGCAGGCGTCACGGTGTAGATGTAGAAGTGTTGCTCTTCTGATGATCATCGTATATTGTTCAATAATTACACAAGGCCAATTACAAGATACAGCAAGTATATGCCAAACCTTGCAGTACAGAGCATTGAGCTTGCGACATCAGAATGAACATCAATGTTTGATGTTGGAAAAACTGAATATTGATCTTGACAAAGAAAAAAGCATGATCAGAGTTCAATATCAGGATTTATACACGTATGGCGGTTTCTTCCTCACTTAAATTCAATTTGCCACATTTTAAACGTCCGGTGAAGAAAGATAATTCCTGATTCTGTTTACGGTGTATTCATTACGTATTAACTCCCCTTAATTTCATTTAGAATTAAATTTTGCTCTGTTAAATATATCAATTACTGATAACTCGATTTAGTATAAATTGATCTTATATTTTATATTTATAGGATTTAGGTGAAACATTATGTACTTTAACTAATAATTTACATGTACAAACAACAAATTTATATAGTATTTAAAAATTGAACAATTAGGTCGTTTTGTTAAGACATAAAACAAAATTGTGTCGTCAAATCAAAGACATCAAACAAATATGATGCTTGTATCTTTAATCAATTTACAGAATGATCAGCAAATTCCGTACGGATATGTTCAGAAATGTAGCTTCACTTTCTACACCAAGGAGGGACAGTCCTAAGTCCATACCAAATTTTAGAGATATTCCTTTAGTCAGAGGTATGATATTTCTTATTTGCCTTTTAAACGGTAAAACGTGGAGCATATCTTTGTTATAAACCTTTATTTAGACAGGTGCTTCAGTGTATAGAATTTGTTTCTGTTGCTCATAGTTTAACAGTTATATTTTTATATGTTTTTATTAGGAACGCTTATATTGCTATTATGGTACCCATCAAATTAAGCCTAACAGTTTTCCTTTGTAAGATGATTATACATTTTATTTTTCTTTCCGGTTCCGGTTCGAAAAAATGTTTTGAAATTATCGGAAAGAAATACCAGTTTGTTCTGTTACATGGATTGTTAATTGCTGGTACAATTTGTGAAATTGATAATAAAAGTATAACGGATATATTTGTTAGTATCAGGACATTTCTGTAAGATGATTTTACATTGAAGTTAAATATTGTTTCGAATTCCCTGATTATGATCATCAGCATTTGATAACTTAAGAAAGTGAACATTTCTTTCTTTTCAGACTGCAGTGAACTTCAAATGAATGGAATATCACTAAGTGGTGTATATCCAATCCGCCTTCCGAACAGAAAGATAGTAAATATATGGTGTGATATGGAGGACAAGGAAGATAGTGGTTGGACAATCATCCAGAAACGCATTGATGGCAAAATCAACTTTACAAGACGTTGGGACGATTATTCCTTTGGTTTTGGAAACGTCAATTCGGAGTATTGGTTTGGAAATGACAATTTATACTGGATGACACACTACAAGAACTATAGTATAAGGTTTGATATGTGGGATTGGGAAGATAATTATGCTTATGCGTTATACGATTATTTTCGTGTTGAAAATGAGCAGATGGATTTTCAGCTAACAATTCAGGGATACTCAGGTACAGCGGGCGATGCAATGTTTCCTTATCATAATGGAATGAGGTTTAGTACTATCGATAAGGACAATGATGAATGGCATTTAAGTTGTGCTAAAAAAGATCAGTCTGGTTGGTGGTTTAAAGCATGTGGATACGCCTCCTTGAATGGTATCTTCATTGAAAATGGAATAAGTGAACCATCACCGGATGGTGTTATAAAAGGAATTATTTGGTCTAAATGGAGAAAGGAATACGGTTATTCTTTGAAAAGGACAGAAATAAAGATAAAACCTCGAACAAAACAAAAATTAGATGACGCCATAAGTCGACAAGAAACCACTAAGGCTGGGACAGAAGTGACAGAAGCTGTTCCTGTTGACAATGAAAAAACCGAGACTCTGCCGAAAGAGAATATTAAAAGCAATGGAAATGGGGTTACTGTGCCTGTTATCGATAAAGATAAAATAGCGGCACCTGAAACACCTACAGATTCAACTCCGGATTATTACACCGACGAACCCGATTATTATTACTAGACAATTATTGATATATGAGGTTTCTATATTGACAAGCCAAACTTACTTGATTGAATAAAAGATGATTGTGTGTGTGATATAAAACTGTATGCACTTCGACTTTGTTTGTGTCTGAGTATTAAGCGTTACATTCTGAGTTTGTGAAAGAAAATGCATGTGTGACGTTTTGACAATATTACAATTTCATATATTTTATTTTTTTACATAAAGGCTTATTTTTAATTCACATAGATCATTGTGTATTATCTCCCTTAGGCTGGGTTATGCCAGGGGCTGCGTTCTTTAAAGTTGTCATACCGTATAGATCTTTGCTCTGATATTTTAGCGTTCATTTGAGGTAATGTATATGTGTTACATGTGGTCTCACATAAAGCTAATGCTTATATTTTGGGGTTAATTTATGCCACTCTTAAATGTGCTATTCTTTACTTTACGCGCATCATATATTTATTTCAGCTAAAACAAAAGATACCTGGCTAAAATACTTTGTATTCTGTTTTCGTTAGTTTTGCGTTATTTCATATGCTTGAACTTTTATTTTGTTTTTAATTTTATCTATGTGAATATATAATTAAACCTACCTTTTGAAAAATGAAGAAAATAAAATGTTCATGTGGTTATTTCTTTCTTAAAGTAGAAGGTAGAACACCCCTAATGGGCACTATAAGGAACTGTAAAATTGACAACATAGGACAGTAATATGCCTTAAATGTCACCTGTATGCAAAATTTAAACACAATTGATCGTGTGGTTTATGAGTAATGGACATTTTATGAACTAAAACTTTGTCATTAGAAGGGCTTTTATCAGAAATGAGGAAACTAAATAATCTTGGGTTTGAACCCTCGCCTCTCAGTTTCAATACACTTTACAGTGATTCTAGCCTATTTGAATACTCTTCAAAATGGAGATAGTGCATTAGGGGTGTACTACCTTAATCCAGGAATTAATAGTATTTATATTGCTTCTTTATTAATTTGCTTATTAGTTCAAGAAGAAATGATATTATTGACGCTAAAAGACATTGGTCATCATCACAATCTTTGTCACTTTCAAATGAAAACACCATAACATTATAAACCTCAATCAAAACTTAAAGATTTTGAAATATCCTTTGGAATACCGCTAATAATACTGTAACGCTAAAAGAATATACTGGTCAGAAAATTGCCTTTAATTTGGTATGAACATATCAAGTAATGAAAACCGATTTGTACAGATGCGCTTGTATCGGGCATGTAAACCGCAGGAAACAGGGAATCCTATGTAATCGAGTGAACTTACTACAATGTGTCTTCAATTATTATTTGTAACAGTTGACAATTGAAATCCGGACGGATACAATCTCTCTGTATGTAAGAGCTTAATGAATTTTGACCTGCGAGTCATGACCATTTGCAGGAAGAAAAGTGTATAAACAAACAGTAATCGACTAACGATTGGTTCTCTTTAAAAGACCTGTTTTTCTTAGAGTATTAAGCTCAGTTTGTCCCTGAAAATACTTTCGCCAAACGTGCTAACATCGTCGTTTTCTCCGAATTTTCTTTTTTTCCTAGGAACTGTACGTTCTGTGTGTGACTTATTAGATTTGACCTTATTTAACTTCTTCAAATTAGCGCTTGACAAGATTTTTACACCCGTCCGTATGTTTTCCATTGGTTCTATGCCCAAGTCCTTGTCATTTTTTTTAAACCGTTTCTGTCATGCCCTTAACTCATTTAATTGTTCAAAATCTTATAGTCATTACTTCTTTATTTCTTCTCGATTGCCTTTTAGATTTCATTCTGCAAGTATTCGTTTTGTTTGCAACCTTTTGTACTACTGTTTATTTACATATAATCTATCGTAAAGTTCTTTTCTCCTCGTCGAAATAATTCATCGCTTCCAATAAATTTTTGACGATCACTGTTAAAATCGCCGAAAAATGTTCTGTTAAATAGGGGACAACTTTGGAAACTCGTCTAGAATGGTTTCTAGGCTTATGTACTCGTTAAGATAAACTAACTGTTGGACAAATATTACACACGTTATATGTAGATATTGCTTGTGAATGGGAGCCATTACTTGTCATATTTCGGTATTTTTGCAATGGAATATCATATGATAAAAACATTTGTCGTCATTTCATAAATACTACGAGTAGTGTGTATAAGTTGATTGTCTAACACCCTTTTTAAAAGCGAAAAAAACAGGGAAAATGAGCGCTGAATGTCAATTGTCTATATACAATAAAAAAATCTGAAATTAGTTATTGATTTTATTTCTAGATATAATAACGTTAACAGTCAAAATATTTCTCAATATAATTGCACAACAATGAAGACACTGTTTTATCATGCCATGTTTATACATAATTGTTTTATTACTAAACATATTGTACAATGATAAACCAAATTATCTACACCTCATGTAAGTTATGGAATAGTTTTGCAAGAAACATCTTTACAAACGTGTCTAGAAAATGTATCTTCAACTATATAAAGATTCCAACCATTATGCTGTCATTGTCATATAAAGTGACTTATGTTTGAATCTTTTTATAAAGCAACATATTATTAATGTTAACAAAAATAAAAGACCATCAAAACTTATAAAAGTACAAAGTTTAAAGCATATAACATAAAATGTTAAACGAAAAATGATTGTCGCTGATGTATGAGACAAAATCAATACCATTATAATGTGTGAAAATATATGTAAGAAATAAAATCTACATTTTATAGTACAAACTCTTCTTTATGGAAATACTTCGCATATACCTAATGTCAAACCTTAAGAATTAATAACCATTGACCACGAAAATACAATGTATATGATGACATTCTAAGAAAGTAAATTGCGAGCCTTCCCCTCTTATCATGGTGGTTATACCACGTGGTATATCACGTTCACATTCAGCATAATTGCCAAGTTTTTAGAACATTGCTGTTGGGGAATAGCACACAACTTGTAACCGTTTTCCCGAATGTTAGAAAATACTTCACATGTCAAACAAGAATAATAAAAATTAATAAGTAGGGAATAGTTCTCCGCTTTACAGAGGCTATTTTTCTATGGTGACTGATTTGTGCCAATTTGTATTTTTGATATCCTGGCGCCTGACAAAATACGAAAATGTCACTACTTCCTCGTTTTCTCGTGTCTTCGCGGAGCGAAAATACGACATGACACAAATCAGTCGCCATTATTTTCCATTGATAAGGTATTGCCGGCAGTTTTCTTCCCTAAACTAAGTCATTAATGCCGCATGTGATATTTTAAATATGAGTAATATACCACGTGGTACAGGCACTCTACATTCCAAACACAGAAAAATACCAAATGCTTAGACCTATCGTATTACGAGTGTATTACTATAATTATAACCTGTTTATATATGCACCAAACGTACAGGGTTTAATCATACGCAATTTTCTAAATGTCCACACTGGCTGCAAGTTTTGGTATCGAAAAAAGCATTTATATTTAATCTCATGTATTGCATATATAAATATAAAACAACAACACGCAGGGACATTGTTAGGAAGGAGGCTACGCAATATACAGTCTTTGAAATATTGATACAGGATCATGTTCACGAAAACAAAATATAAATGTCTATGATTTTATAAAATATTACACAAACTGTCATGTTCTTATTTTGCATATCACGTGGACATGGACCGGTCCTTTAAGAGTAATATAATAATATTCTCTCAGAATGATCATCTCTGTTATCGCTTTTATCAGCATACATTACTTAAGACTAATAAAATAACCTATAAGTAACTTTTAAATTTTATCAACAAACATATCAATCTTAAACTGCTTTTTATTCGAGGTTAACGTACACTAGGCTTTTTCAAGGTGACATTTTTAATTTTGCAATACTGATGAAATGACCTTTTTTTGCCATACCCGTTTTTGTTCTATCAAAAATAACAATATGATTGTCGTATAAACGATTTTGATATTAAACTATGCATTCAAAAATGTTGATGTTAGCTTGACGCATTGGTATATATGTATGTAGACATTAGATTTGCATGGATCACAGCTAATCTCAAAGGTTATCATAATAAAAGGCACACAAAGTCTTAGAAATTAATATCACTAATTTTGCCTAGGAGGGAAAAACCTGTGTTTGAAAAATGTTAAAAGTATTAGACGTGCAGCATGTTAGATGCTTATCATGTGAAACTCGAGACAAACTTAGAATTGAATGTTAAATTATTTGTCATAAATGTAGCAATACTTTAATACTTTAACAAAAGTAATTTGTTATCCATACAAACTAACAAGTGAAAAGATGGTTTAAATTGAACAACGAAAAACCTTTTAGAAAAAAAATGAAAGCATAGATGGGGCCTTATAAGCCTTTACATAGTAATGATTTATTTAATGTTATTAACAACAATAAAACATAGGGAAAATATGAACCTTGTAACAACAATGTAAAGAAGTAACAATAATGGATTCAATTAGTACAGGTATCAATAAGATCAGGTAACAAAAATGGATTTAATTTAATCTAAGTACCGGTGGATAAGAATGTTTTGTATCATTCCATGGGACCTTTCCGGGTTTTCGTAGCGGAACATTTAGCCACACCTTTTCCATTCATTGCTAGGTCAACTGCTCACAAACAGTATCACAAACAAAACCATGTGTTCTTTTGTGCAAACCAGGTCAACCAGTGACTATGTATTATCTCAGTGTAGCTATTGGACAACAAGTTAGCCAATTTACATAAATCTTTAAACACTGGAAAGGTCCAACCTTAACTTGGTAATAATCTTAACATTTATCGGTGCCATTACATTTATTGCCAAATTGCGACGGTACGTATCAAGAAAATCTTTTATTAGCTGCCACTGCACTTTTTACGTCAATATCATGTAAAGGTAAAAAATTTTATACATTAACATTTGAATATCAAAAGTTTTTCCCAACAACGTATGCATCGTTATTTGCCAATATATAATACGTGGCCTCAATGAACAAAGAACAATACAAAATGCCATATATTTATATTCATAACTTGAAAGATAATTCAACCCTGAAACACGCGCTTATAGATACATGCCATTAAGTAATTGTAAAAAATGCCAAAAAAATGCATTTTTTATTATCCAAACAATTCTGAAAAAAATAAAATTCTGGCAGTTTCAAAGTTTCAATACTTATGATAATAATCTAATGCTGACATTCTTTACAAAACATACTATATCGTTCTTTCAAGATAACACTGATTAAAAAATCAAATCAAAGGTCACACAGTGGTTCTGTACAACTTTCATTCTTGGAAAATTTATAATTTTGTCTTTATTTTGGTCCCAAATATAGTTACAAGAAACAACAAAAAAATAATAATAATAATAAACCAAATATAATAATTAAATTGTTTGGACGGCAATTTGAAAGTAACGGCATAATTGTAAACAAAAATAAAGTAGCAGCAACCACGATTGTGGATTTCAACAATAAACGTCAAAAATAACGCAAATATAACAGCAGTTAGTTTGACGGCGTGTAAGGGAAATAACAAAATGTCGCAGCTGGTCATGTTCTCTATGACTTGTCACTCATGCAATATATTGCAACTGTTTGTCATTCTTATGAACTAGTTTCGTCATCTGAAAGATGAAAAACGACTCTATTGTCTGGTTCGTTTTCACTTTTCTTTGCTTTACATAACAACACCGACTGATTATGTATCATATTATTTTTCTTAAAATTAGCATCTATCTGTCCATTAATGCTACATGTACCATTATTATTTTCCCAACATTCACCACTCTTTCCCTGATTAACTACATGTTGTACATTGTCATTTTCCAACCCCCATGCATATTTCACACCTTTTTCCAATAGTTTTAATTTGTCCTCTGGACAATCAATCACTAAACTATCGCATACATTTTTATGTTCCTGTATAGATTCTTTTTGACTTTCATACATATCAGTGCTTTGAAAATGACTATCTCCTTTACTTTGATCTTTGTTGCACCGTGAACTACGATTACTGTTTTGATCTTTGAAGGATGTTTCTCGATTGTCGTTTATACAACCCTGATCACTTTTGCATTTTCGAATATTTTCAGAATTCAATTCTCTCCTTGCAGCGGCATCACTATTTGCTATGCATGAGAAAAATGGACAACTTAATATTTCGAGCTTTACATTTTCGTCACTCTCAGGTGTATTTTCAGAATTATTAACAGACAATAAACGAGTAAATGACTCTGGTTTAGTTAGAAAGCCATTTCTAATTGTTTCTCCTGAAACTGAAGCATAAGAACTCCTTAAATTGTTCAAACTCCTATCAGATTTCTCTGAAACTGTTTCCTTCTGTGTTTTTTTCTGCAATTCATTAGAATCATAATATCGAGAATGCGGAACAAGTTCGTTTTCTGCATAGTGAAAGGATTCAGAACTAATATTGTTTTTGTGAGTATTGTCATCGTATTGCATTGATTTGCATTTGAAAGACGATATAATATTTGAAAACTGCGGGCATTCAGCAGATTTGTCAAACAATAAAGTATCACCCTCTAGAGAATTTTCATTAAAACTTCGGTTCTCGGATGCAGAATCATTATTATTGTTATTCAAAGAACCAATGCGTTTTTTAATATCTTTCTCATGTGTTTGTTCAACAGTATCACTATCATATTTATCAAGACTTGCATCACTTCCAATTACTACATTTATTTTAAACGTCTCTTCTAAAGGACCTTTTGTGACATCTACCTCTTCGTTGTCCTCTTTCTTTACATCTTTATAACAGCTTTTATCGTGCATTTCTTTATCTTTCGTCCGGTCTTTAGGTGTAATATATTGGAAAAGGTCCGACATTTTAGGTAAACTTAATTTAAACTTGCCTAACGTCAGGCGATTCTCCTTCTCATGATGTGAGTTATCCTTATCACCTGAATTTTCTTTTGAAGATTGTTTATCGAGCTCAGTTATTTCAGGAATGTCGTACTTTGTTTGTAGACCTGGCTCAGACTTTTCCCCTTTCAGTTCCGCATTAACGCCAGTTGGTGCCGTAATGTTATCAGTATCTCCTTCGTCTAATTCAAAATGTATGTCTAATTTGTCTGACCCGTTGTATTCTTGTTCAGTAGGAGAAAGTTGCTCTGAAATCTCTTGAGTCGCTTTCCTGTACTCATTTAATCTGCTAAAGCTTGAGCGTGGACTGCCCTTCACAATCAGTCTATCACCTGTCTTAACTTCACCTGTACTCTCGTCATCTGTTTGTTGTAACAACGAAACGCTGCTTGCTGATCTGTTCGATTTCATACCTCCGAAATATGCAGGCATTTGTGCATAGCTTGTAGAGGCGTGCATAGCGTGTAAATCCATGGCGTTATCATAAGAACTGAAAAGAGCAACACAAAAATATGAGTTATCTTATAACATAATGATATTTATAAAAACCGATATACTAATATAAATGTTACAAAAAGCACTGTATTTGTTTAGCAAAATTAAAACTGATTTGATGAAAAATCACCAACTAATTCCTTATAATGACAGACACACTGGCTAAAATAATTATGAAATCAACTTTAAAATGTAACAAAAAGCAAAATGTAAAAATGGCGCGAAAATGTATTTCATGAATATTTGTTTTAATTCAAATATCTGCAATAGCCAAAGTATAAAATATAAACAAATGCATGCAAGCTTATAATTGGCTTTCTGGAATAACTTCATGTCTTTTTTTAAACAAAAGATAGAAAAGATAGAAAAGCGTTGTGTCCGGTTTTATATTCATATCTAGTTTGTTTTAGGATATATAGATGGAAGGAAAGAAACAGTAGTAACTTTGGTTACCATGTCTTTGTACAGATTTATCTTAATTATAATGTACTAAATATGTAATGATAGTCAACTGTTGATCAAAATTTACTATATCATTTGTACAAGTCTGTTAGTAGCAACCTCCTTATATAAATCAAACAGAAATGCTTTTTGCTGCTTTTCCTTTTAACATGTACTGTTTAATGTAATTTGTAATCTCCTTTTCGAATATGGGGGTAAGTAATATACAGTCATTCAAACTTGCCTATAAATCAGTAATTTGTCTGCTTTTCTTACCATTGAATGATTTTATTCAAGATTTCCATAATATTTTAATCGGCTGAATTTATGTAATGGATTTGCCCTGCTTTTAATTTTAGTAAAAGTCTATCCAAATTGTAAGAACTTTCAATTACAATTAGAATTACAAAAACCGTTTCAAACATTATAGAACCTTGTATAACAAAACGAATATGCAGACTGGCCTGGCTCTATACTTGTGGCAAAGTCTAGCCAATTGTGGTTCAAGGAGGTCATATGTTATTAACAATCTTTATAAAAGTAATGTGGCTTAAAATGATCATCTCATATAAACTATCAAATTATTTGCTAAATGCCGTTATGTCACAATTTTACTGACTGTCTCAATGAAAGTTAGTTATTTTTTTAAATAAAAATACTATAAACTATACTGCAAACGAATGCAAACTTACGAAATAAAGTAAAAATAAAAAATGTTACTTTTAAGATGTCGTCTAAATACAAAACTTCGCATGTGCAAGTTTAAAAAAACGTTTCTATATTAATGGTGCTAGTTTTAATGAACATTCTTGTACTTTGTTCCTGAAAATGTGGTAAAAGGACGATTTGCTAAGGACCGTTTCAACATTTCTCGATTTATTTACAACAAAAAATAATGATATATTATATTATTTTGGCTCCATGGAAAATGTATTTCCCTTTTTTTTATTTTGATACACTTGTATAAATAAAATATTTGATATACGTAATCAAAGCACTGAAAGCACTGGAAGAGTCTGTGACTTACCAGGTCTTGTTATGCAGACTATTCTTGTTAATGTCAAATACCTTACACATATCTGCACATAAGTAACATGACGAGGACACAATGACTACAAATTGATTAAATTAAATTGTATCTTTAAACATCGGTGAATATGTTTTTAATAACTTTTTACTTTTAGAATATGCATATTTTAAAATCCTCACAATTTGCATATATGTGTACCATTTCCAATGTCCATTTAATAAATGCAAGAATTGCAGAAAAGTACCCTAAAATTATAGCTGTGTTGTAGAAACTTTACTTATATATTCGCCAATAATGATCAATTGACTTGTCATATGTGCTTTAACGTGTATTAATATCAACAAACATTGTATTGGTAAAAATTAGATTTAAATATGATAGTACTCAAACAAATGAATGGGTATGAGTAGCGGGGTTGGCGTGGGAGAAGAGGGTTGGTCAAAATGGTTAATATACTTAAATTTCTTGCAGTAAGAAATCTCTTATCTCTCACATTGTTACTACTAAAAGAGCTTTTGTTGAATATGAAATGCTTAAAATGGAAATAGAATCATTTACTATGTATCAGCAATAGCCTAAACCTCCTGAATGACAACCCTTATATTTTATTATTTTTGCTTTACAATGAGGTCAATAAAAGACTTATTTCTAAACAGTATAAGCAATGACTGCTATAAAAACATGTCACCTTTGGATTTATGAAGTGATATATATGAATATGTGTGAACATGCCTCCTAAGTGAAGACTGTATAGCCTTAACTGATTGAAATTTAACATCCGTGCAATGTACATCATTTGTTTTCTTCCCATTTAAATTATTAAAAGATCATACTTAGCACTGCTTCCATTCGATCAAGAAATAAATCTATCGCAAAGATTATAGTTCCAATGAAAGTATCACATGCAAATGTATGAAAATTGAAAGTCTCAAATCTTAAGAAATCATAATGTTCATGATCGAATCAATAATAGAAAGGTACTGGTAAAGAAATTATTTTTACAATAAAAGATATATTTGTCCCAGAGTAATTATATTTGACCGGGTAACTAAAAGGTTTTTGTTTTTCAGTTTGAACCAACTAAATTTTGCGAAATGTATTACTTATAAACATTGAAACGAATGTAGAGAAAGTTGTATAAAATAGAGAAAAACAGAATCCATAAAGAAAGCCCAACATGGCAATATTGAAAGTGTTGCAGGGTCGGTTTGGTTGAGCCTATTCATGAACGGTAGTGGTAATTGCTATCTACGTCCACGCCCCCTTTCACCGTTTATCCCCCCTTTTTATGGATAAGTGGCTAAGAAAACTCCGCTCATTCGTTGGTACAAAAATCAAGTAACAATTATTGATTTGTGAACATTATGAAATCTTTGAGTGCAAACATGTATCTTGATTAAATGACAGTGTTGTAGGAGAAATGTAATATGCACAACACAATTTTCTGAATATTATACAAGGAATTGTACCCCCGCGTAGTAGGTCTGGATCGGAAATATAGTTTCATCTCCTTTGTCAAGCTGAAAGTGTTTTCAAATAAAAAACAATTATTGTACAGTTGAGGTTCACATGTCATTCTACCTAAACAGATATTCAAATGTGATTAAAATGAACATGAAATATCATTTATGTTTAATTGGTATATATGTTTATAACACATATGTTTAGTGATTTATTTTCACCAATTGCATATGGTCATAAGTTACATTATTGTTGTAGATACAAAATCTATACACATAGAGAAGTGAATAAAAAATGATATCATTTCAAAGTAAAACCAAAAATAGGTTTAAGCCGATGCTAAACATAAGAAGAATTTTGATGCGGATGACATATAAAAGAATTTATATATGTTCGATGACATTGGTGATTATTTAGAATGCAAATGTATAAATCAACCAATCATAGTTAATAAGAGAAAATCATTTAGTGAACAACTGACACGAGAAGAGTCAAGGAAACTCCTAAATGAATCTTGTGTTAAAATACAATAATGATTAACATATAGATAATTTAAATAAACATAACTGTATCTTATACTTGCATTCTAAATATATTTGTCTTTTGAGTCCAATTTCAATTCAATGAAACAAAAAATAAGGAAGTTCAAACCAGGCGCTACATACTGTTAGCATTTTCAAATCACTTTAAATGACAAATGGGCAGGCCTAAATTAAAACCGGTGTCAGTTCATTTTTCATATAATGAGCACCAAGTTTACTTCATACTATAAATTTACCTTGAACAATATGTAATATTTCATTCTATAAATTCAAACATGATTTTTTCATAGCCTTATAAATCAACAACAATGATTCACGCTTGAATGAATTACAGTTGGTTACTCCTGAAAACAAAGGTGATAATTTCAATGTATAGTAATAATTAAATGCTATCTTAATTAATATACCTGTATTTTCGGACGGACTGGCTTCGTTCTTGTTTAATTTCTTCGCAGAACTGTTTTGTGCTTTCTTCTCCTTCCTTGCCAGCTAACCAAAATGTTCGCATTTCACCTTTCCCCTGTAATTAGTATAAGAGGAAGTTAATCTAAGCTATATACTAACTTGATTTTGGTATGAGGATATTTTTAAAAAACATTAGTTACATCTTTTTGAACTAATTTGGCAAAAATAAGAAAAGCATAAGTCCAATAGATCTAGTCCACTTTTTATCATGTATCTAAAATTCGTTTTAATCTAAACTATAAAATGAATTGATCTTTAGATTAAGCTTTTTAACTAATTTAAAATAAGAACAACAAAGAAAGAAGAAAAAACAAAACAACAGAGATACTTTAGTCAACTGCTAAACATGTATCTATGAAAATAGACCCTTATGATGTTTTACCAGATCTGATCACGAAAAATGTAATTTATATGCTCTAGCTTCATACAACTTATACATTAATAATAAAATATGATTCAAAACCATTATGTTGGCAACATGTTTCAATTTTCTATTTTTTACATTGGACTCTTGTATCATTCACGATAAAAACATTCTAACTACTTTTCAAAAAGCAAGGAAATGCCTTTGATGTGTATTTTTCTTGCATTTTTGACCTATTTGATTTCCGTTTTCAGAAAAGCAAACGGTAATTGAACTCTCATATATCTGGTCAGATACCAATACTTGCAGACGACATCTTGCATGTATTCTCGTAATTGCTGTACTGCATGCAACTGCTAAATTAGTAGCCTGATAGGAACATGACAAATGTACATTTATTTTGCTGACGAAATTGTGATTTTCTTTAATCAGCAAATGTCTAAGTACAGAATTTGATACACGAACTCAATTAAACTTAACATAAACAAGAAGTATCTCAGCTATAAACAAATTCTTTAGAAGCCGTGCCATAACTAGACTTTAGTTTTAAAATTTGACATGAATTTTGTTTTGCCACTTTTGCTAAAACGAAATCGTTTTTGATCTATATATACATTTAGCTTAAACAAGATCTTTTCGAGGCCGTGCCATAACTAAACTAAGTTTAAATATTTCGCATTATTTTTGTTTAAAAACTTTTGCTAAAACGATACTTTCTTGATCTTCAATGCAAAAAAATCCAAGAAATACGTTCAAAAAACATAAAGGTGTTTCAAAACAAATCAAATAAGCTAAAGGTTTGTAATAGTATTTGAAAATTGATGGTAAAATAAACTTTTGTGAAGAAATGGCTGGGACAAGGTACTCTTTATTCTGCAGCAAGGATAGATTTACTGTAATATAGGTCCAAGAACTTTCTTTTTACTTATTTCATATGATGTTACCACAAAATAAAGCGAGGTATTTTGTACTGTATCTTTTGTACTGACGAGGTAACATTGAACAAACTGAAAAACGTGATTAATTATAAGACGAACGGCTATGTCTCGTTTACAATTTAACACAAAATGGAATGGTAATGAAAATATACGCCATAAAGTCGTATTCACAAATGATCGGAAATCATTATCGCGTCCCGATCCATTAGAGTGATGGTGGCAGTCTTCAATAGTCATAAATAACGATGCAAATTAGAACATAAGGTCATGAATAAAAGATATTATACCGATATAGTATAAACGGGGTCAGTATCACACAATATGCAATGCCTGAAAAGTGCTTATTGAAATCTCCTGTTATAATCTTGTTGATCAAATATATTATGTAATTCAAATTTTATTGTTCATCGCTCATACATAGGTTGACATGTTTCTGTACGTTGGTTGGCACATCTGATTTTCTCTTTGAGATTGTTATGTTACAAAACGTACAAAAGCGTTTTTCTTATATAAAATGTTTAAAGAGAAACGTTCATTTCTATAACAAAAGATATCCAATAATAGTTAATACTGAAGCAGTAGTTTGTAATTCACCTTGTTATTCTTATAAAATAGGCTTTAAGGCGTTAGCTGAATAATCTGCAACTAGAGAATATTTGAAATAATTATATATATTAAAGTATGTACTAACCTTGACATTGACAGTCCCTCTCACTATGGTAACAAAGGAAGACTCTTTAAGGCATTCTTGGCATGGCTCACTGATATGGATTCTTCCAGGCTGTAAGAGATAATTCAAATTCTACCTCAATGATTATCTCGCAAAAATGAAACAAAATGAGATCATATATATTTCACAGCGACCATTTCTGGTAACCGAAACTTACTGATATTAAAATATACGCACAGTTTTAAGCATTTGGGTATTTCGACATTTTTTTAAAGGGATTCCACTGAGATTTTTTGATATTACGGGAATAAATTTGTTTTTGAAAATTTTATCCCATTTGATAAAGGTCTAGACCAATGATATGGGTACAAAACTTCAGATCATTGGATCAATCCATCATACAGATCATTTGTATTGTGAAAAAAAAATCCATAACGAAAAGCGACGGTTTAGCTCCATTGGGCTAGGAAACCCACAAGTTTTTTTTTACTGATTAAATTTTAACATACATAATTTCTTTTATTTATATCTTAAGTGCCCTAGTGCAAGCTTATCTGTATAAGAATTTAAAATGTATGTTTTCAAGAACTCGATTGATCTCCTTTAAAACAATATCATACAAAACAAAAACAAACAAAAAAGGCCAAAAACAAAACAAAAACAAACAAAAAACGCCAGAAAAAGAGATATATTTTCGTCCAGCTCCGTCAAATGGAGACTTACAAACTACAAAATTTAATATGGCTGTGTATATTATATATTTACACATCAATACATAAGTTAAGATGAGACTATTTTTTTCTTGTATTCTTACCAAACTGTATGTCTGCATTCTGGAGGCTGTGTTAACTGTGTCACCAAACAGGCAATACTGAGGCATTCTACGTCCAACAACCCCTCCAACAACACTGCCTGTATGCATGCCTGTAATAACATAATAGTAAACAGTTACTATGTATTTTAAAACTATCTCTGTATGCCACAATACATACATATTCTCGTCAAAAATGACTTTCTCATATAAAGGATTCGGGCATAAATCATGTATTAAATTGTTCATTACTTATGACATACGATAAGTAAATACCACGTTGATAAAAATGGTTTGCATTAATAATATAATCGTTGTTTTCAGGGGATATTTTCTTTTCAAGTTTTTATATATCACAAGAGCAGGTGTCAAGTGCCGTTTGGCATCTGTAAATAGTTGCCCCGTATTTCATTTCAGCGTTTGTTATATTTTTTCTGGTCCTTCGGGATTACTAAATCCAGCACGTAAGTGTAGATTGGACACTTCTTGAGCCGGTGCTAGGGGGCATGGAATATGCTGCCCATTACGTTATCTCTAATGAATAGAATCAATCCAACCGGGGACTTAATATAATTAATATACAATGTCCCAGAGTCTGCAGTTTCCATATCATATTGTTGTTTGCAATTGCTTCCGGCGGATCACTTCTCTCACAGATTTTCTTTGAATTTATGACGTAATTTCTAGTAAAGGCGCCATACTACTTGAATATCAAGCAGACGACCAGTTTACGATATATAATACACACTGTATCTAATAAAAAAGTATTTGAATAATTCTAAAAAATATATTTGGATACAATAAAGCGCCTCATAACGTATTAATTTGTATCTTATTTACATATTATGTAAACTATATACGACATTGATTGTCTTGCGTACTTGGGACCAAAGCTAACTTATATGCATTGAATTCTTTGTTATATTTGCGTCGACTATATATTTTTAGAAGTACATGCATTCATATTGTAGCTCTGGTAACTAGATGATTACATAGTAGTTTTTTTTTCGGAACAAAATCTATTTTTTATAACAAACCTATTCTTGTATTAAGCTTATATTTGTTGCTCCATGGCTCAGTTAAAGTTTTAGCTTTCAGTTGTAGCTCTAACGCCAGACCAGCAACATTGATAGCATGGTTGGGGTTCCTGTCCGGAACACCACCCGCTACCATATATACAGCGTCCCCAAGCGTTTCTACCTGTAAAGAATATTCAATGTAATTGTTACTGATCAGTGATCACACAAAGAACAGCAGGCTATTCTATACAATTAAAGATAAAAGTACGATGTACTCAAAACCAGAAACATCTTGTCAACAAGTTAAAGGAACAAGTTTTTAACCAATATTTAGGCTATAAATATCATTTTAAATAAAATCTTAAAACGCGTTGTAGAATATCGTGTTTGAATGCATTGCGGCTGCAATTGAATTTGCTGTTACAGAGATGTCTTCAAAAGGTTGATATTTTCACGACAACCTTGAAAAGCAGGTTTCAAAAGATTTTAATAACTGCTTTCTGTTGGATGATGGATTTAAAGATAAAGCTTTCAAACGTGACAAGGCGAGAATCACGCTATACTGTTAATCACTTTATACTCGCGTGATCTTTCTTTCGATTTCGCGAAAACCCCATTCACGAATTATCTCGCAGATTCATGAATTCGCGACGGCAGGGTCACAAATTTATCTTTTTATTTCCGCAATATAACAGGGTAGGATGTCCAAATTACGTTAATTTCTATACTGTACCGAACTTATTCACGGTAAATACATGTATACCTTTAATGCTACCCCATTAAGTGACAATTTTTGAGTTCATTTACCCACATATTTGATAAATTATGAAAGATTAGTACCTTAAATACGTCATAGCTGTCGATGATCTGGTCAAACAAACTGAACACATTGTTAATAATCTCTACAATCTCCATCGGTGTAGCAGACGAACACACTTCACCAAAACCCACCATGTAATTAAACATGATTGTGACGTTATCAAATATCTGGAATAGTTGATAGAGAGGCATGTATAACCACGTATGTACTTATGCCGCCATTTTGTAAGAGGAAAATACAAATAGTTTAACGATAGAATAAGTTTTCTTATAAGATATTTCTTTGCTGTAAAATCCTTCATTCTTTACAAATCTTTAAAGATACTTGCATTCAGATGAGCCAAACAATTTCAAGAAAATCAAAAATGTATTTGGATAACAAGAAGGTAAAAAGATGAAAGATTCAAGTAATAATTTGCATGTTTTATGCGATAAAGAACTAATTATGTAGTATTTATCACCATATTTCTACTGCGTGATTAACGCAGTAACGCCTTTCTTTGGCATATTTTGACCTTTATAGTAATTTGCGTGCATTGTAAGTGTTTATTGAAATGTGTAAATAACTTTCTTTAGTCACAATATTTTACTTTTAGATAAATTTTCATAATTTTCATAAAAAATTATCAGCATCTGGACGCATTTTGATTTAATAGAAATTGAAAACATTTTTTTTATGTTTATTACCATACAAAAAATATGCCGGTTCAATGTTATATTATATTTAATCCATTTTTCGATTCATAGCATACGAACGCAAAGGTAAGGTTTAGAAGTACTCTAAAGTAAGCTAAGTACTCTTGTTACTGGATCGTGTGGGGGTTGCGTGCGTTGAACGCCGCCTTTCCTTGTTGATCTTGTTTATCATATTTTAGAAGTAAAGAAGTGTCTTTTACCTCACATGTTGATACCGGATCCTCACCAGATTTTAACTTGCCGGCAACAGATTTTGGTATCATGCTATATAACAAACTGTCGCTTTTAGTCATCAATGTCTCCAAAGTAGACATGTTCTCTGTTATTTTCTCTGTCTTTTCTCTTTGCTTTATAAAAAATAGAGTAATATATACAAGTCGTAAAACAACAACAACACCAACATAAAAATGTAAATTTGCTTTCTTTCTTATCAATTACTAAACATTAATGCAGGACGAATTGTCAAAGGATGTATGTTTGTAGATTGATTTTAGTGTTTCATTCTCTAAGAATGGTCAACATTTACATTTCTACTGTCCCGTAAGCTATATCTGAACATCACTTGTTTAGTTAAACAAGTTTGTTCTATCTCTTTGGATATAATAGTATAAGCTTACTTAAATTACTTTCGAATCCGCTTTCTAGGCTATGCAGTACAAGTCTTCAACTGACATCATATAGCTCTATATATTAATTATAATCTACAATAATCACCGGCACCGGCACTTGGTATCGCTTAACAACGCGCAAGCTTTTTTCGGATTTCTTTTTATGTACGAGAGCTACAAAGCTAGCTTTCACATCGTCGTTTGTGCCTGAAATAAGGCACATGAGGTCTTTCTTCGCTTGTAAAGCTGTAATGTCGCCCTATGACCTATATTATGTTGGTGCGACATAAAACAACCCCCCCCCAAAAAAAAAACTACAAAGACCCTTAGCATTAGATAATAACTATTATTTTTAGTTGAAACGTGTTGTACGAAATGTTTTAAGTGTATCATATACATGTAATAGATAAGTACACCGATTACCTCAATAAAAAGATCAGTGAAATGTAACGGATATAAAGACGTTAAAATGGGTTAAATTAAAGGTTCATTTATGCTCGTCAACGTATACAAGACTCCTACCTCTTCTATGGATCTTTCTAACTGAGAAGCATGTTGCCACCCTGCCATCACCATATCTCGGCTCATGTCAAACAAATTCAGATCGTTGATATACAGACCAGCCTGTTGTAAGTCTCGAAGATCACATAACCTATAAGATAAGTGAAGTAAATGTAAACATAGTCTATAAAATGGATTGGTGTCCCCTCTTCGTGCATTATTCTTCGGCACAAGCGGACTCCTAAGTACATTGTAGAACCTCAAAAGTTCTTAGTGCCCATCCGTGCATTACTTCCGGCATAAGTGGTCACCTCAAAACATTGTTGAACCACAAACGTTCTTGGTGCTCATTCATGCATTATTTCAGGCACAAGCGGGCACCTCAGTACATTGTAGAACCACAACGTTCTTGGTGCCTATCCGTGCATTATTCCAGGCTCAAGCGGACACCTAAAAATACATTGTAGAACCTCAAAAGTTCTTGGTGCCCATCCGTTTATTACTTCAGACACAAGTGGTCACCTCAGTACATTGTAGAACCACAAACGTTTTGGTGCCCATTCATGCATTATTCCAGGCACAAGTGGTCACCTCAGTACATTGTAGAACCACAAACTTCTTGGTGCCCATTCATGCAATATTCCAGGCTCAAGCGGACACCTGAGTATATTGTAGAACCACAACGTTCTTGGTTTCCATCCGTGCATTACTTCAGGCACAAGTGGTCACCTCTGTACATTGTAGAGCAACAACGGACTGTAAATTAGTACATGAAAGGCATGTGTACAGTCATATGACTGTAATATGTTTTCGCAAAATCTGACACGTAAACCTTTTAAATGTAACAAAATTTACGTGTATGGAAAAAAATGTCACAAACGTCTACATCGATGTGAATGATGTGTTACTATCCTAACCCTGAAACTAAAAACATAATTGAATAACAAATTCATTATCTGACACCTTTTCTAGCAATTACAGACAAAAAAGCAGCCACGAAAATGAAATACTTCTGATATACTCGTTCTAAACAACGGTCATTCCTGCCTTATTTTTGCATAACGAAGGCACATTTAAATCTAAAAGTCATAAAAATACATTTGTTTCAATTTATTTCAAAGTTTCCTGCCATAACTCATAATAATTACAAACGACGTCATAACAGCGCATAGTCTGTTTCCCTGAAACCCAATCCTTCATTACATCTTAATAGGCTAGAACATTCTAATATTGTTCCACGTTCGTCTGCAGCATATTTTACGCAATTTAGATCGGTATCATTCATTTATTTTGAAACGCGAGATACTACGTGGTGCATACTTTCTCTTTTAATTGAAGAAGAAGAAAAAAACACCACGATGCAGTCAAGTGCAGTGCAGATTTCCAGTGAAGGGCCTATTATACCGGATCGTGACAAATCGCTATTTGAGATACTGTAATGATTTTTTCCTGAAAGCACTCATCGCAGACGCTAATACAAGGTTTTAACTGTCATTTGATATAAAAATATGGATGGGTGATTGGTACCAAAGGTCATAAAAGATATTACAACAAACATAAATATAAAAATAAATTATGTCAATGGATATGAGTTCTGCTATAAAGAAAACAGTACGTGACAAATATGATATTCAAGCCAAATGACGTAGAATATGTATCTGTGGATCTAAATGTGATATCTAAGTTATTGCAGCTGTGGTTATGAGAAATACCAAAGATTATCAAATATAAACTTTACTCCCTTTATTACGAAGTAAAATAAACAGGGTTTTCCAGATGGGGCCCAAAAAAGATGTAAATATGATGTTCTGTAAAAGAACCAACACATTGTTAATCGCAGTATAATTATTGCAATATAAGAACATAAAAACTACAATATGGAAACTTATGGTAATGCATCACCATTTTAGAGGAAATTTTGGTGCCTAAATGTTTAGTGCTTCGAAAGAACGTGTCAAATATTGAAAATAGATATATAACATTGAAGAGTAAGCATTGGCCATCAGGAAGGTAATATTGACTTTTGCGTTGATTAATTCTACTATTAAATAACTCCTGCAAAAGCCAAAAAGTCTGCTCACAAAATGAACATTAGCATTGTACATAAATCACTTTCAAAAATTTATCTTCTGAATCACTTTAACAGCGTCCCAAGTATGTTTAGTTTCGGCTTTACGGCGAACTTACATAAAATATGTCATATGGCAACAATCTACACCGCATCAACACAGTGTAAGTCATACGGCAGCATTCTTTCTGGTGGAGAAAGACCGTGCATCATTTCAGGCACGAACAGGCACCTGAGTAGAACCACCGACGTATGCTAGATTGAATATATTTCTCACATGAAAGAATCCAAATTCTTTGTTAGGATTGGAACCCACCACGGTGAGCGGCAAGTCATTTGAAGTCAACGACCTTAATCACTCGGCCACGGACGCTCTTTGTCCAATGTATAACAAATATTATCATATAAAGCTTTTAAAACCAAAAAATAAAAATCTATTCGAACTTAAAACACGTTGCATTAAGCTCCTGAAAACCTGAGTACATTGAGATTACCGGAAAAGCTCTGTTTTATAGTAAATGTTTACTAAATTTTTTTTCTCAGCCTTTCTGATAAAACAAAGATAAGTTATGACAAAGAACAGCACAGTTTATGTTGTAAAATAAAACCTTTTATTTTAACTCACATAGGACTGCCTATACCTTAAACTACGTACAGTGGGGTGCATAGGAACGCGATCATATTCCAGTCTTGCAAATATTTCATTTGTCCGCGGAGTAATATCCGGTGATCAGCTGCCTTTTCTGGCTCGGAATTGTCGTGCTCCATCAGTCGTGCGTCTAGTTCATCAGGATCGTTGTTAAAGAGGTATTCTACTTCAAATATTACACGCCCAAATTGTAGAATCTGGAAAATAAAATGTGAGGAACAATCAACCAATCAATCAATCAATCAATCAACAAGTAATACAAGAAACTTAAAATGAGTCCATAATTATCAAAGACAATATAATCCCTTTCAAAAGTAAATACACATTCGACATTTTATATTATGTGAGATACCTTTCGAAAATACTAACAAACGATATACAGATATGGCATAATAAACTTTACATGAGCACGCTTTCGAAAGTATACGCATAAAATATTTTTACATGTTTACTCCCATAAGCACTCTACAAAACGTATCAATGTAAAGATTTTCGGGTGTTAATCGAACATATTACACTTTACATATACTCACTTTAGTCCATATACATGGAATCAAAGGCCTTCGTATATGGAACTTTTCCCGGAGTGTTGAACCTATTAATGTATTATCTTTGAGCAGGGCGGACATGCTGTCTCCTACCATTCGAATCACAAGTTGACTGTTGAATACTATACAAAATGGAAAGACCTGAAAAAATAAAGAAAAAATAAGAAATAAGTTTTCGAGAATTTTTTAAATTTGCATATTTACTTTTTCTAGATTTAACTTTAAACATGCAGTAATACAACACCAAGGCACAGCATTTACAATGTAGCAGTTTAGGTAAGGTGTCTGGTTCACAATTATTGTTATAACGTGTGAAAAACGACTAGAGAAGTCTGGAAATGGGGATATTCATCGGAAACAATGAAAAGAATAATATTTTATGAAAATTGCAGACTCGGTTGAATTGAGTATGTGCATGATCTCGAGATAATGTAAAAGTACAATATCTCTCACGCCCCTAGCACCGGCTTAAGCGGTATTCAATCTCTCAACACTAATGTGCTAGAATCAATGATCCCGAAAAATACGTAACAAGTACGGGACAACGTTTAACAGCTGCGGCACATTACTTGACAACTACTGTTCTGAAGTATATAGATTTATTGAAATAGGAAATCCTCTGGAAGCAATAGGCCTACGTTTGACCTAAAATACTACATATCGTTATGTTTGAAAACTCGGACGTCACTGAAGTTGAAATAAAACAAATATTAGTGGGCTTATAAAACCACATCAGCCACTGGGTCATTACTCTCTTGGTTTGAATACGAAATGGGTAGTGTAAATATGGGCATGGCTATCTTAATCAAGGTAATAGATCTAAATTAATGTACAAAATAGTTACAATACAAATCGGTAAAGTATGGATTCTCTAGGACCTCGGAGAACATATCCACCTATGATTTTAAAATGTGAAATATTTGTAATGTCATAAACCTGAATCACTAAGTTTGATTAAAATAAATGTCGACCTTTTATTCATTATAGAATATAACTTGCAAAAATGCGTGAGATGAGTAACATGTCAAATCGTTCAATGCAGGATATAAGAAATATAAATATTTTTTTGAATATCGATGTAGAATATAGAGAATTTGATCCTTGGCCTACCCTGTTTAATAGCATTTTTAACTTATATAATGGAGTAGAAATTTTGAAAATATCATTAGTTATTAAAGTAATGATGTTTCAATTTACATCTATAATCAGGTTATCTACAATTAATGCAGCAATTCTATTATCAATGCAAATTAAATAGCTTAAAGCCTTTTACATCAGAATATTTATAAATAAACCGAATAAACCACCTGCAGTGTTAAACCTGTAATTATTTTAAGAGATAACTCCTGCTCTCAAAATAACACTACATGCCACAATTACTCACTGTAACTATTATAAAATGATGCTTGTGTTTTTAACTTGATATAAACTAAGATAGAAATAAAAAGTTTGAAGTTTTCAATCCCTAGAACTAATGTCATAACAGTGTTTAATCGCAAAAGTGTGTAAGTATTTAAGCAGTAAAGTGTTTAATTATTATAGTGTTTAATCATACGAATGTTTATTGTAGGTAGTTTAAAAAAAATATTGTTTAATCATTAAAGTGTTCTATGACCAGCACGTGTTAATTATTTCGTATAGATCTTATCAACGTTCAGTAATGTTATATGTGGTTTATCAAATTATCAGGAACATATAAAATTATTTAAATTGCATTTGCACACACAACACATGACGGAAAGAATATAACCATTTTTTCTGGATTGAACGTCGTGATTATCAAATGCATTAAAATTTCAGGCAAATTGTCCCTGTACAATGATGGCTGACTATTGAGACAAAGGGGTATTCATACTTATCACTTACTTAAAATTTGATCATTAATTACTAATGGTCCTATTATTTAAACACCATGCAGTTTAACATTGAAAACATTGAAAAATGAATACCAGTATAACGTCCAGTCAACGGAATGCTTATTATTTTAAACATGATGGGTTCTATATATGATTTATTATGTCTCATTAATCAAAGGGATAATTATGTATACTATTTGTTAAATTCATTTAAACTTATTAATACTTGAATTTGACAATTCAGTGTCAAAACAGAAAAATGATGCTCCTAATTATAAAAAAGACCAACTCGTCGATACTGACGAATTTTATATTCATTGACACGAACGGAATTTATGGAACAAATTTAATTGACTAGAAAAAAACACTGCTGAAAAGCATATTATGCCTCAGAAATCCATATTGTTTTTTTAGTTCTTTAGAAATGTTATACATGTGTGAAATAATGTCTAAATAGTTGATTTAGAGCATGTTAGATGTTTAACAGATAATAAAAGTAGCGCAGAATGTGCAGTAATGTGTTGTAAAGGTAGCAAATTGTAAACAGAGTAGTGTTTGAATAACAAATTTACCAGATTTCAAATATATTATTGTTAGTACATCTAACGTATATTGTTGTTTTTTTATTTCCAAAACTAAAATTTCATTTTCGTAAAGATCAAGTATAATAGTGCATGAGGTGCTGCTTTTTCTGATTCATACATACTAAATTAGATATACAAAATTAATGTTTTTTTGTTGTCTCACATTAGAAATTAATCATATAATGAACCACAGGGGATCATAAAACTCGCATTACATCTTTACCTAATAAACTCAAACATAATTATCATTTTGCATCTCTGTATAAACTCCATCTGATTCCATGATCTAACATGCTGATTCGACAAGTTTATCACAGTTTTTTAAGATTTTAATATTCGTAGCTCCCTTTGTGGTTGAGGGGTTGCCGTCAATGATTGAGGCATCAGAATTGCAACCAGCATTTATCCCTGTATGATCTTAACAGGCGACTTAATGGGTTCAAATTACTGGAGTCTGCATCTCTTAGCTCAAGCAGGTGAGGTGGTTTTGACCCCTGGCGGATGCTTTGAAGATTGTAACAACCGAATTTAGCCAAAATCATCTTTCCTGTTGTAGCGCCATATGATCTAAACTGTGTTGGTGTGCCATCAAATTAACCAAGTAGCCTTTCTCGAATAATGATCTTGAGCACTTTGATAAGCATTTTATGTCAATTATTAATGAAAACCATGCATAAGATTAAAGAAATTCAATTTCAAACAGTTGCAGCCATTCTCGAATGTGCTATATTACTGAATTCGTTCTTTATTAAGCATTTCATGTTAATTATTAATTAATACCATAATTAAGATTGAATGATTAGTTTTAGAATATTAACCTTTTCTTATATATTTGTTGTGAATAGCTTTGAGTGCTATTGCCATCACCATGTTGCCAATTTCCCTTAAATATTTAAACCTAAGTTTCATCTTAATAACATGAATCAAACTTTATATCAAGGAAAATGTATGACTATGATATGAATCTTGGGTAACGTTCTATATAGAATAGCAATCATATACGAATGTCAATGATAGCCATATAATAAATACTCATAAATAATTAATTTTCAAATTTTTTGTTTGATTCATGAACACGAAACATACAAAAAACCTTGCTTTATTTTACATAACATAATTATGCATAACAGTGTCCTTGTTGTTAAAATTAATTATGTATCATTGTGAATAAAAATCTGGAAAATGGAAAATCCCTCGGAAGCAATAAAACGACAACATAATAGCAAATTGCAGACCCGTTTGATTGAAAGACAATGAAAAAGTGCAACATCACCCGCGTCCCCTAGCACCGGCTTTAGACTACACATTTAAAATATTTATGCTAATAATATCCGTATTCACAATATCAATTTCATAATGATATGATATATGAATTTGCCAGACTATTTCATAGCCTTTAAGGAGTAATGAATATTACTGTCTCAAGGGATCGGACATTTTAATTAGATACATTGTACTCCGTCACGAGACGATCATTTCTATTTACTGATAATGAATCGAAGATAGATACTGGCAAGTGTGATGAATATTAGACCTTAGCTTTAGAATAAAGTGATGAATTACCGGATAACAAAAGACCGATTGGCATTGATATGCGAGCCATATCAGCTATGCTATAAGGAATATTCAAATTAAAACATTTTGAGTTGCGAATCGTTTCTTCTGTTACACGCAAAGACGCATAATTATATCATACAATATATTATTAAACTAAACAACTATAGACTTATTAGGAGGTCCATGACCTGAAGAATGCGATATTGACTAGAAAACTAGGTATTGGTCGAACATTCTTCATGAAGTATCGAGCTATCAAACAATAATTATACCTTTAAAGTGCAACTTTTTAAGGTAGCTGAATTGTAGATAATCTTACAGAAAAACTATCTGCTGTTGTCATCTAAAGCAAAGGATCATTACCCTGCAATTCATAATAATGTTCTAGTTGCACTTCTGTAATAAGAAGTATTTTACCGGGCGATATGTCAATACAAACCAACTGTTAAAACTCAGCAAAACCGATTTATTTGATAAAGTCTTTAAATTGTATACTGCTATTAAACTTAAAACATTTTGAGATACTAGACTAGAAAATTGAGATATATCATTCACTTCAGCCGATGATTAGAATGCTATAACTCTGAATTATTGAGAATAAATCACTGATCTTGTTTTCAATCCAGATATTTATTGTGAAGTAACTCTGCATGAAGCATGCGCATTCCTGATGTAAATCTGCTTATAACAAATGAGCTATTTTTTATGTTCAAATGTAATTGAAAAAGCTTTCATTAAATGTCATACAGGACTGTTAATTTAATTGGAATTCATAACGTTGACATCTAAAAGGGAAACCGAAATAAAATTATGTGAAAAATAATTGGTGATTTTCTTTTACATCAGACTTCATGAATTGACACTAACGTGTCACATTGAAGGTTCCATGATAACCGCCGTATGAACATATCTGCGGATGTTTCTAAATTCAAAATTTCACCATTTTCGTGTTTAAATGTTAAATTCTGATTAAGCCGGTGCTAGGGGGCGTGGACGGTAACTTGCACTTTCGAGTACCGTCCATGAACAGGCTCATTAAAGCCGAGCCTGCAACATTTACATTGTTGTCGTTTTGGACGTTCTTTAGGAATTCAGCTTTTCTCTAATCAAAGTATTACTAGATACGATGCCGTGTTAACAGAAA